TTGGGCAGTCCTGTAACAGGACCTTACATTTGGAAGGGCAAAGCTGAACCAAATTGGGAGGCGGACATCTCCAGTCTGAGCAGCACACCTTGGCGGCTTGGGAGGACTCGCAAATCACAGCGATGTCATCGGCGTACTCTAAGTCCCGAAGGCGGTCACTAGGGAGCAGTTCAACACCGCAGGACTCAGAGTTATCCATGGCAGTATCCAGGATCTCGTCCATGGAGAAGTTGAACAAGAATGGAGAGGCTGGGCAACCCTGTCTAACAAAGATGATGATACTGAAAGGAGGCGAAATGTCTCCGTATGTCCGCACGCGGTACGAAGTTTGATGTTAAATAGCACGGAGAATGTTGATGTACTTCTCAGGTACTCCCCTCTTCAGTAAGCAGTCCCAAAGAGCCACTCTGTCAACAAAAGCGGCTCGAATGTCCAAGAATATGACTATGGTTGGTCGACTGAACGTATGGTGATGTTCAAGTATCTGGCGAATCGTAAAGATGTGCTCGACACAATCGCGACCCGGGCGAAATCCAGCTTGTTGTTCACGCAGGTGCCGTTCTCGTACGCAACTGAGCCTCCGTAAGAGTATGGCAGCGAGCAGTTTGGATGCGACACAAATGCGACTGATGCCACGATGGTTGGAGCAAATGGTCTGATCTCCTTTTTGTAAACCGGTAAAACATCCGCTAAATTCCAGTCGGATGGAATGGTTTCAGTAGTCCAAATCTGATGGAATAGAGATGTCAGTTGGCGAGTGAGAGCAGGACCTCCATATTTGAAGAGGGCAGGAAATTCATCTGGACCAGGTGAATTGTGGCACTTCAGTAGGTGAAGCTCACTGGAAACCTCAGCTTCTGTCGGTGGAGAAACATCCACGCACCAGGGAGCACTGTGAACTCCGGAAGATAGACTCGGTTGCGCTGCTGGCCAGTTGAATTGATCATCAAAATGCTCTATCCATCGTACCAGACGACGGTGACGACTGTGAATTAGTTCACCGTCATTTTTACGCAAAACCTCACTCACTGTTGGTCTTCTGCCTCCCATGGAGAGAATAAGTTGGAAGAGTTTGCGGGAGTTCCCTGATGAGGCTGCCCACTCCATCTCGACGACGCGCTGTGTCCACCAAACCTCGCGATCCTTCCTGAGGAGCTGTTTGAGCTCAGCACCTGTGGTTCTGCGTACTGCGTTGTACTCAACTCCGGCGGGAATTGTTCGACGACTTTCCATTAACTGGAGAGACTGTGCGGAGATCCAATGACTAACAGCTCGTCTAATGAAACCACAGATCATGGTAGCGAACTTTCGTAAGACGCTCTGGATCTGTACCCAATGTGTCTCAACATCGGAGGATAGAGAACGTAGACTGGAGGCTAAGGTGTTTTGAAATGCGCCGAAAACATTCGGAACGGTGAGCCTGTCTGTGTCAAACCGTTTCCGGCAACGCTGTTGGGTGCCTCCAAAACGCAGAACGAACTTAGCACACACGAGCGCATGATCCGAAGTCAGTGTTCCATATTGACTTGCAGTGCGTTATGCAGCCTCGCCAACGGTAACTAACAGCGATGTGGTTAATTTGCGTCCAAGATTGACCAGGCGCCGGAGGTCGCCAGGTGGCTCGTTGGCGCCAGGAACGTCGGAAATTGGTGCTGGAGAGGAACAAGCCTTGGTCGGCGCACAGTTGCAGGAGTCGATCGCCGTTGTCCGTCCTGCGAGTACCGTGGCTGTGTTGACCCCCAGGTTCGCGCTTATGAACCTCTAGTCTACCGACCTGTGTATTTAGGTCACCGGCGAGTATCACGATGTCCGTGCGGCGTTTCTTGCGGAGGAGGTCGGTGAGTTGGCGGTAGAACTCGTCTTTAGCTTCGTCCGGGCTGCAGTCAGTTGGAGCGTACGCCGCCACAATGAATAAGCAGCGCCTACTGGTCCCGTGACTGGAAGATCGCAGAGCTTTCCAAGCGGACTACACGAAGACGACTGTTGACCGAGAACCAGTCAATGAGCGCTGCCTCAGCACGCGCGCTTAACGCAACTCCTACGCCGGCGCAACCAGAGGCTGTCGCTGTCGCATCTCCAGATAAGCGCAAGGTGAATGTGCAATTGGAACTTGGGGAGGGTGAGGGCAATCGCAGCGAAGTGCTGGAGTCTTGTAAACGGGTTTCGGTTAGGCAGCAAACGTTGATTGAGAGGGTTTCCAAGGTTCACGCAAGAGCAGCTTGTGAACCAATCTGCATGAGCGTTCGAATATTGAAGGTAGCTAGCTTGAAGAGCGAGCGGGGTGCAATAACAGCCTTGCTGTTGGTATTGGAAGGTGTGTGATGGATTTTGAGCGGTTCACTGAGAAGGCAAGAGAAACCGCTTTCATTTGCAATGCACTTTCGGAGACTAGAAATTGAAGGCCGGTTGCCAAGAACAGGAGGATTGTATAAACGTGGAACGAAGAACGTGGTTTGCGGTGTGGTAGGGTGAGGTATAGCATGTCCGGCCGATGGCACCCCGGCCAAAGAGAGAGAGTTCAGAGAGCGAGAGACTTGAGCACAGAGTTGTAAATCCATTATTTCATGTGTTGTGTGGGCATACATTCCTACTGGCTATATATTCCCTGGTCCATCTTGGAAGACAGCGGTTGTTGATTATCCTGAACATGATCATTATCAAGTTCTAATCTAGGAAATCCGGAATGTTCTTGTGTTTGTACAAGACTTGATGGCTGCTAGTCGGCCATTCCACAAGACAGCGTATCTGACGGGGAGTAAGTTGGATCGGATAGCTGTCCCGGTTCTTGGCATAATTAGTTTTGTAATTCTCGTTGCGAAGCTTCCGGGTGAAGTTAGGTTGCAATTCTAGTGTGCACAGATTGGAATAGGTCATTTAGTTTAAGAGATTGTGTATATCAGGTTACGTCTCAGTGGTCACAAACAGATGTTCGAGGTGAAGCTGCTGACATCGTTCTCGATGGCTCATGTGGAAGATGTATGAAACAAACGCTTAGCGAGTAATCTTTGCAGGTTGTCCAGAGCTTTCTTGTCACCCATCCGTATACTGCAGTATTCAAGGACGGGAAGGGTGAGGATTTTGAAAAGTTTGATTTTTGCAGAGATCCTATAGATTTTATGGCACATGTTAGCCATAACCTAATGCACTTTCTTCTTGATTCCACTTTCTTTGAGTTCTATTTACATTGTTATGTGTCATTATCCTGGCGACGCTAGTGGTGGCAACTGGATCTACCATACTTCGATGCCCGGATCGTAGCTGTTGAACTGACCTGTATGGGTAATGTGTATCTTTTCGAATTCAGCATCAGCAACGTGCGTGTGGCAGAGTAGTTTGCTCCAGAATAATCATGGCTCCCAATAGCATGCATACAGGTCATTGAGGTCACACTGGCTATGCGACTGTAGATGGAGCTATGGACGTTGAAGTGAAGCACAAACTACTCGTGATCACGCTTCCGACATTTGCGACCTGTGGTTGTCAAGAGTGAAAAGTAAATCTGCCGCCAGCTGCAGACTGGTCAATGCGTTGCTTGATCGGAGAAGCAGAGTAATCTCTGTGGCTTCGATTGTGATCGCAGAGGAGTGGAAGAGACCGATGTTGTTCATAAGAAAAACGAGCACATAGGTGCTTAACGGCGCGATTAAAGACACAACGTCGCTGCAACACCTTTTTCATCAATTGCTGTTTCCGCACAGAGACGCAGTTAGACATTTGCGGTTTTGTGTCCTAGCTGGCGCGATAAGTGATCTTTGCATTTAACAAAATTCTGTGAAGCAATGGCTGATACCACAAGGCCCGATGAAAGAAGGTGAAAGCCGATGTGGATGACCAGTTACAGTGAGCTGTATCTTTAACATTAAGCGAGTGGAACAAAGTATGTATAGCTAGTTGTGTAGGCGGAAGAATTACCACGGAAATTGCAGCCTATATGTCAAGATCATAGTCAGATAACCACACCGTCTGCGCCTTCTGACGAGATCCCAAATAACCCATTATTTGTCTACCCTATGTGATTAACTATGCAAACCTCCACGTTTTCCTTGCAACTCATACTATGGTATAGAGACTTGTTCCGATAACTTTATCTGACGCCTGCTCCTACGGGCTATTGTGCTATTCATTGTTTTCTAACCATGTCTATGTGGTTTCATCCCAAACCTGCTGTGACGATTGTGCACTTCCACCCCGTGCTACTAGTCCCAAAGGTACAAAAGCCCTTGTTAGGTTTGTCTTGCTCCTTGTAAATTCCCACTCGACATGGACTTGCTCTCATGCCAAACTCGCTGTGACGATTGTGTACTCACACCCCGTGCTACTAACCCCAAGGGCACCCAGGTCCTCGTTGGTCTTTGATCCTATATGAGCACCGAGACGCGTTAAGCTCATTCCAGTTAGACGTAATGATACCTTGTATCTTCCTATGCGCCGTACCGCGAACCAATGGGATAAGATTTTGGACACCTTAAAAAGAACCCTCGTATTCCTCTGTTTGAATCTGTGCCGTGTGGTCTTGCTGTACGGTAGTAAGTGCGCTGACGCTATTTCATTGTGTAACTGTACGAAGACCCGGTTGTTTCAGGACTGAACGGGCAATGTTGAGGTATGTAAATATGTGTTTTAATTCTATTTTGTTAAATAGTACCGTAGTTAACGTCTCGGCTTCCTTTATTGGGTGGACCCGGGAGTTTTTACGAGTCACTGGAGCACCAAGCGAATCTGTCGCTTACAAGCTAAACAACAGTTGTTTAGTATATTCAAGTTCAATAGTGAGGCTCACTTTTATCCCTCTGCCTAGCCGTGACAAGTGCTTGGGTGGTAGCGAAGCAAGATGTAGAATGCAACGAGATGCTGCTGTCGATGATGATGATGATGATAAGCCCGCCGAGCACGACTAGTGCGTTTCAGTAAATAACATGTGAACCATGAGCGAGTCAACCAGCAGTAGTATTCCCATGGGGCGCTAAAGCGTCAAGTGAATAGCAAACAGGCGTACTCACCTGATATTTATCGGCCACCATGTGACGTAAGCGTTGATAATACACAACACCGATGTAGATGTGGGCCTCTAACTGACGTCCACTACAACCAGAAATCATCATCTCGGTGCCCCAGTAATTGAATCCGCAATCCGCCAACTGCTGGCAATAGTCATTGAATGGTGGATGTGCCTCCGTCCATTGGAAAGGCGTGGCGTCAACACGGTTACCTGAAAAGCAGTAAGATAAGCAAATTTGAATGTGAGACGAAGCAGTCTATAATTCGAGTTAATGAAGAATATGGCGCCCGGGGTTTATAGGCATAATCAGAGTGTGAAACAATGTAAGGAATCCGCGTTCAGCTAGTTAGGTATGCAATAGCAGGGGATATATTTTGACACAATCGCAAAACGTCAATGTTACTACTGCTCGTAAAAGTGTGCGTTAGTGCATTCACACGGTTTATTTATCTTCATAAATGCTAACTAAGGAACCCAAAAAGTTAAATGCGAGAGCCACACGAGACGAATTGGAGCTTCGTGTTGACAGGCATGAGGATGGACACAAGACAAACAATATAAGGAAAAACACGTTTGAAGAGATGAACATATTGGTGCCAACCGGGTGGTTCAGGTTAATCTCGGTCTAGCGGTAGTGTTCCAGGATGTGGTGGGTTTTCACCTGGCAAGCGTTCTCCCTATCAAAAGCCACAAATGTCTTCTTAACAACATTGAGACGTGGCGGACATAAGTTGCCACTAAATAAAGTCACTGCTTTGCCATACCGGAGGATTTAACATATTTCGCGAGCGTCAGCCACTTGAAAGATTTCATGTGAATCTTTCCTATGTTGGCGCATTCACCGAATATACGGACAAATTTATACAAGACGATGACTTACACATGTACCTACATACTATATAAATATATATATATATATATATATATATATATATATATATATAGGAAGTACTGGTTAAATCGTAACATTACTATACCACTACTGATGTTACGCGTTTGTATTACCAAGATCATGCCTTTGTAGGCGTGTCTCGCACCCTGAGGGAATAAATCCTTTATTTATTTATTAATTTCCGAAGCAGGTGGGTGCGTAGGCAGATAAATTCGAGAAGTGAACAAAGCGACAACAATAGTCCGGCTAGCGATCCACAGTAACCACAAAGGCGTGAGCCATAGCAGCAAGTTACTCACGAGCGATGGTTCAAGGTTGGGTGACGGCATATAGCCCCCACAATGCGAACATTCTCAATTGCCTTTTGGTCCAGAGCTATGAGAAGGAGAAGAAGGCATCCGCAGTATACCGGCACACCGTACTGACATTTCGATGGCACGTGAGAGCTGGGTATACCGCGAGGTTACCCGCACCTAAGCGGATTCGAACCGGCGACCTCGGGATTACAACGCAGACGCACAATCCTTTCGGTCACCGGCCGACTTGTCCAAAACTATATCCAACTTCAATGCTGGGACTGATGGACAGAAAGCAGCTTGTGGAAAAATAGCGCACGGGTAACGATTAGCGCGATGCTAGTTGAAGATCTAGTGGGATAAGTATGATGGAAAGTTAGCGAGAACGTCGTTATCCAGATATCTGTGTGGCTATCAGTGGTGCAAGCGATAGACAACGATCGTATGGGATGAAAACGCCGCCGGTACAAAGCTGATCCGAAGTGACATCGATGAAGCGGAACAACCTCGTAAGGGAGAAGTACGATTGGCTGCTCATACAGTAGCCACTCACCAACAGAAACCGATACGCGAAGCAGCGAAGAATGAAATGCAGAATCGATCACAAGCGAAGAAGCATCATGTGGGCAATAAATGACTGTTTGTTTCGTAGGAGCTAGGCGTATGTTCTGTTTGTGGAGAGCTACTCGGCAGTTAGGTAGGTAAGTAGGTAGGCAATCAAACGCAGTGCAGCGGAATGGAACATGTCAAGTTTTACGAGGACACGACCAATAAGGCAAATAACTGGTGAATAATAGCGCGTATCTTCGTATTGTAAACGAACCAATTTTGAGAAACGTAAACGGTACAGAGCCCAAGCAGTGAGAAGAGTTTTATATGGGGGCATCCATAACATGCAACAGAATCAACCACTGGATGCTGAATAGTGTGCTCCTGCTAGTAATCGTTGTCGAATGCTACTTACTCGGTTCCTGCTGGCACACCTCCAGCTGCGGCCTCATGGCGCTCCCTTTGTGATAGCGCGTTCGCTTGAATCACATCTGACGAGATTCAGTAATAGCTGCCTGATTCTACAACCACTTTGGTTCTCCAGATAAGGCCAGTTTAGTTAAACAATCATGATCCAAGCAACAAAGCGTTGTGGATCCACGACCCGTTTTTCCAGGAAAGCAATGGTGGGAAAATGACGTGAAACACGAACAGGGTACATAGAAAAAGGAATGGAGAAAGTGGCGTGCAAAAACAATCGGGATGGAATATTAACAGCTGGTCGCAAGAAACCAAATACAGGAGTCCCACTGACAGCACAACTGCGTCATGTCCGATAAGGTCTCAAATCACTGATTTGGACAATCTCGAGAACTCTATGCATGAAGACGACACGCACTAGTCTGACCAAGTCTCTCAGTCGATTTCTACTTGGCTTTATACAACGTCGTGGTTTCCTCCAGCTTAGTACAGCAATGTCGCATAATAATTGCCGAGGACATGATGTGGCCAGTGTACACAAACACCAGAGTGAGGAACCAGAAGGCTTGTTGTCAAAATCAAATGGCGGAACTCTGCATTGCTCACCCGGTGTTCTCACCGCATGAGAGCAATAACCCACAAGCGTTGGCGATCAAACCGGGTCAAGCGTGCAATGCAATCACTGCGAACTAACCAGGTCTCTGCTCGATTCAGTAACAATGTCCTTGTCAAGGTAGAATCTTTTATTGACAGACTGATATCCCTTCGCCTCCATAGATGGTTTAGCCTCTGAAAAGCCACACGGGCCATGCTGATAGGCAAATGAACCGATGCACCACTTCTAGTGAATGTTTACTGATAATTAGAACCATGTTCAGTGTTCTGGATGATTCGACAGCTACGCATCTGTTTGCCAATCTGCGATATATATACAGTGCCGCTTTCCTATACAAATATTCCTGCTCGACCGATCTTCTGACTGCCGTAGTGGGTAGAAGCATTTTCAGGGTGCACACTAAAATGAGAATCCCGATTGATCGTCTTGATTAAGTGTTTGTACACGCAGCAACCCCGTAATCGCATAAAGCAGTGGTAAATAGCATCATCATCATCAACAGCAGTACATCAGCCATTTGAACTGATGCTTCGCTGCCATACAAGCATGAGGACCTATGAAATAAAGAATAAGAAAAGGGAGAGAAGGGGGACTTACCTGAAAACCTTAATGCTCTAAGCAAACATTCAGGGTCAAGGCGCCTACACCTTGTGTAGACAACATACCGTCACAAACAGCTGACTATCGTGCAAAGATAAGGCGGCGTCGCCGAGACAGCTTCCTTACGGCTTTCACTGCCACGCGTCATAATCAGCCATTACCCCGCAGATAACTCAGCACCAAACATACTTTAAACAGGCAATCCGATTAGAAGACGGCAGCAGACGCGCCACTGGTGTCTACTGCGAGCCATGTCCTGTAAAGTCTCGAGCCAAGCACAAGGTGAGTCACGTGGACTCCAACCCGGAAGGCGAGAAGGACCAACGCCACCCAGTTTAGTCGTCAGTGACTTCATTTCCCGCTGCCAAGTCAACTTCTGTCCACCTCGAGCCTTGCGTCATCCTACACCTGGTGGACTGAACAAGGTCCTCCTAGGTAAGCGGTGACCAGGCATGCGTAGCACGTGCCCGAGCCAACGCAACTTATTCAGTGCTATCCGTTGTTCTAAGGTGCTAGCATGATTATCACCACCTAGTAACCGCCTACGCACATCATCGTTGCGGACACGCTGGTGCCATCCAACACCAGCAATGCTTAGCAAACAACGATGATCAAAGACTTGAAGACGCCTCAGATCTTCAGATCGAAGGGGCCAAGTTTCACTACCATAGAGCAGAACGGCCCTCACTGTGGCCTTGTATACACGGCCTTTCAGACGAAGGGAAACTCCCTTCTGTCGCCAAAGATGAAGGGAGTGAATAGCAGTTTCACGTAGATAAGTTGAATGAGTCCCACGCTCAATGTTGGGCGAATGCCATGCAAATTCAATGAACGTAAAAATCACGGCAGCGCCATTCAGTTGACCACTGTAAGAAAGTGTAATCTACATGATTCAGTGCGTTACGGTGTGATACGGAGATGTAGTGGAAAATTGCAATCTGAAACATTCCACCAACTTACCTGTGAGTGCCGCGGATTTGCCGGCCAAAAATTCTATCATCATACCCATAGTCATTCGAGTGGGGAAGCCATGGGGATTGAAAATCAAATCAGGCACCATTCCGCTCGTTACGGTCCAAGGCATCTCTTCGCTTGGGACCAAAAGACTATTAATGCCTTTTTGACCATGTCGACTGCTGTACTTATCACCGATGTCTGGGGGACGAGGTAATCTAAGAGTGATGGTGGCCTGCGGGAAACACAAGTGTTGAGATCCGAAACATCAAGAGGTATCGAAGAAAGACGCAGGAAAGTGAATAAATAGACCAACAGCAGTGATCGACTAGGTGATAGTACAAATGGCAACTTAAGACGGCGAAATAACAGAAAGAAAACTTGAAAGGTTAGATTGACAATTCTAGAACCCAAACAAACATTGCGGGAAATCAGTAGTATTCAAACTAAAACAGCACTGGACAGATTAGTAACGGTTGTCGATCGTTTCGCGCTATGCTTTTCACTCTCCAAACGTAAAGCTTCCCTCAAAAGTTAGCAAACACCGCCATCAGATAGAATTAGTCAAAAATGTGGCTATCTGAGCAGCTGTATCAGCGCACATGGGATCGACGATAAGGCCACAAGCCGTATAGCGAAATCTCGAGGTGCTATTCACAGTCTTCCCCACCTATGGCATACGTGCTATATCACTCTATGCTTGAAGAGCAGAGTCTACAATGCTGAAATCCGTTCAAGCTTCCTTTACGGCTGCGATACCCACCCATCAAGCCGACAGATACAAAGGGGCTAGTCACGTTCGGTCATTACTGCCTTCGCAGCTTAACTCATATCTGGTGTGAACACCGGGTGAGCAACGGGGCGTGTTCGGCAGGAAGAGCGAGTGAATTGTTGCAGTGTTGTATCACGCATCAGACTCCGATGGCTGGGCCACGTGTTGCGTATGCCAGCACACTGACTGCCGCGAGATGCGTCGCTTGCGCGACTAGGGCGTGGATAAAAGGAGAGTAGGAGGCAAACCAATGAGTTGGACAAGAGGAATAAAGTCCTTCGCTTCGAAGATGGCCTCTCGATTTCGTGGTTGGGATCCGAAGAAAGACGCACATTTGTTAAAATGGCGAAAAAAAGAGCTCAACGGTTTCCGTTCCGGAAAGTTCTTTCTTCCTCTTCGCTAATCAGCTTCATTCCAACAATGAATTCAACACCTGATCGCAACAAAGCAAAAAACCGTGCATCTAGTTCTTTGCTTTTCTATCTACCAAAGTTATTCACTCGCTTTGTGTTGCGACACAAAGGTCAAGGTGTTTCTCAAAACTAAACAACGTGCAGAATGGATGAATCAAACTTCAGTAATATCGGCCGTCAATGCTTTTGATCTCATCATCATCCACAGCAGTACACCAGCCATTTGAACTGTTGCTTCGCTGCCGTACAACCACGGTGACTTACAGAACGAAGAACTATAAAAGGGAGAGAAGGGGGTCAGGGCGGCATCGCCGAGTCAGCTTCCTCGTGGCTTTCACTGCCCGGCGTCATAATCAGCCATTACCCCGCAGATAACACAGCGCCAAACACACTTTAAACAAGCAATGCGACTAGGAGACGATAGCAGACACGTCAATGGTGTCCAATGCGAGCCACGTCCCGTAACGTCTTGAGCCAAGTCAGTGACTTAATTTCTTGCTGCCAAGTTAATTTCTGCCAACCTCGCGCCTTGCGCCATCCTACATCTGGTAAACGAAACAAGGCCCTCCTCGGTAAATGGTGACCGAAGATACGTAGTATGTGTGCAAGCCAACGTAACGTATTCAGTGCCATCTGTATTTCTAAGGAAATAGCCTGGGTATTACTGCCAAGTATTCACCTACGCGTACCATCGTTGCGGACACGCTGGTGCCACCCAACACCAGCGATGCACCGCAGGCAACGATGATTCAGATCCGAGGTGTCAAGTTTCGCTTCCAGAGCGTAGGACAGCCCCTTACGGTGGCGTTATAAATACGGTCATTCAAACAGAGGGAAACCTCTTTCTCTCGCCACAGATGTCGAAGATTCGAAAAGTTTTGGCTATTGTAATACATCCGCTGATCTCAGTGCTTATGTGTCCTTCGTTGCCGATGCAGCTGAAAAGGTAAGTGAAATGAGTAATGATCTTGAGCTCCTGGACATCAAATATCAAGGGGTCATCAAGTGGCTAGTGGTCGTATTATAGCACTTTACACTTTGCAAGTGCGAAGAGGACGCCAAATGACAAGACTACTCCAGAAACTTTATTAAGGTTTGATTGTGCCACCCAACATTGTTAAACTGCAAGAAAATATCGTCCACTTTTCACAAGACAACACCTAGATGACTGCATAGTGATGCTCCGCAAGGAAACATTCCATGGTGGAGTCAAGGAGGAAGATGAACAAAAATGGGGAAATCGCGTAACCCTGAAGAATCACAATTGTTGTCGTGGTCTGAGCAGCCCCATTGTCAGGCACATAAAATGTTCACATATTTAAAGGAGAAGACCATGATGGTAGAGTCAGGTCAGAGTGAGCGGATGGACCAACCGAGAAACCCAGATAGCCAATGGGAGGCGGACGTAATGGATTCGATTACTGGACACGGATTGGTCGACATCCGTGCAAGTGATTCACCGTTTATTTAACTGAAGCAAAGGAGGAACGTCATTGACTCAGAAGGGTCGCTAGTTATGGACTTGGATGTGCAACTTATACCGAGGAGTTTGGCTTGCCGAACGTACCGTAATTTTCGCCGATTTCCCTTTGCTGAATAAACGCTTGTCCATAAAGGACTGAATTTTGCAACAAACACCTTTCTGCGAAAGTATTTCAAGCAAAATGCATAGATCAGCTGAATCGAACGCATACTTGACGTCGACGAACACAGCTATTGCCGGCCTGCGGTTAGTATGGCGCTGCTCTAGCGCCGGCCCCTGTGTGAATAAGTGGTCTATCCAGCTACGTTTTGGGTGGAAGCCTGCCTGCTCTTGCGTAACCCGTGACTCGCGTTCCGCAGTGAGGTATAGAACGAGAATTGAGGCCAGTAATTTTGTTACCACAAGGCGTTAGTCTAATACCCCTTTGGTTGATACAGTCGGTGCGACTGCTTTTCTTCTATATCCCCACCATGATTGATTCACTCCAGATAGCTGGGATGGTCTATGCCTTCCAAACCTGCTCGAACACGGAGTTCAGTGCTTAGCAAAAGACCTCAGCTCCATCCTTAAATAGTGCAGGTGTGAGAGAATCCGGGACAGCAGCACGAAAACGATTAGCGAATACGATCGAGTTTCGGACCTCAGCCTCCGATGGAGCCTGTAAACTAATTCTCCATGGCTAGTCCTGCATCACCTGGGTAGGAAGAGATCCAGGAGCTGGAGAACAACTGAATTGCTTTCGAAAGTGCCAAACCCAGTCATACGGTGCCACTTATTGTGAATCAGTGCACCAGCGCTGTCTCTGGTTGTCTAATTGACGCCTGTTCTCCGGGGGCCAGTGGTGCGGATCAACTGGAAGAGCTTACGATAATCACCTATTGCTCCCGCCTCCTCCACTTACTGAACCCGATAGTCCATCAGACTTCCTTGCCAGCACGTAGGCTCCAGCTTAGTCCGTCTGGTTACATTGTGCTCAAAGCCAGCCGACGGTTCTCTTCTGGATTCAAACAGGTTCACCGACCTCTCGGATATCCAGTGACGGGGACGATGATAGTGCCGCAAACAGAGGCTCCTGCATGTTGCATAATGGCGGAGATGCTATTCCTTTGAAGCTCAGTGTCATTAGGCCCAGAGAGCGAAAGTTCGGTACGCAGAGTATCCTGGTAGGCTTGCCTGATTAAGTGATGAGAAAACCTCACAGTTGCCAATAGAGAGAGGCGTTTGGTGCGCCTCCCGGTAAAGATCATGGAGAAACGACAGTCAATGCAAGTACTCCATACGAGCGGCAATCAAGAATGAAAAAACACCACTCTTAACTTATGGCAAAGTGATGTAATTGGGTCCATCGTTCGTCAGCTACAGGAGGACACCAAGAGGCACTTCGGCGCCCACAGTGTCTAAAAACGGTACTAGTATGAAACAGCTGGTGCTCCGCACACAGCTGTAACAGACGCTCGCCGTTGTCCGTCCGTACTTACGATATAGCAAAGCTCCTGAAGAGCTCACACGAACTACTTGCGCATTCATATCCCCTGCAAGAACTGTGAGCTCTGAACTGGTAACACTACGTAATAGCGTGGTCAGAGCGTGGTAGAAGACGTCATTGACGGCATCAGAACTTCAGTAGGTGGGGGCAAAAGCGAAAACTACCAACGAACGGCGTCTAGTACTGCTTCGTGTATCGAACTTAGTTGATATCGTCAAATGAGCTGCACAAAAACGGCTGTTCACAAGAGCCCAGTCAACCAACAATGACTCAGTCTTGGAACTAAGAGGAATGCCCACTCCAGCTTGACCAGAGGCTGCCGCACCAGCATCTCCGGATGCGTGCATCCAGAACAAGCCGGGTGCAGTTAATACAACAACCCCATAAGGGTCAACGACCCTAGTTTCCGATACGCAACACACGTTAATACCCAGGGTGTCTAGCGCGCGTGTGAATGTAGCCTGCTGAACTAGTTATCTTAGACTGCCAAGGTTGGACGCCGACAATGAAGTGGGACAGCGTGGTCTGATAAGGAACTGTTGCAGATGGGCGTCCGGTGGGTGGTGCGGAAGGATAGCTGCAGTTGGTAGAACTGCAGTAGCAACGCGGCTGTTGTCAGTTAAGCTGAGAATTATGGAAAGCGAGTAATCGCGGTTGCATGAGAGTTATGGAAACAGATAGAAAAAAAGTGAGGCAACAGAAGTAGCATGTTTTTGCTTACTCATCCTGCTGTATGCAGTAGATAAGTCGACCTTTGATAATTTGCACGACGGCCGATGCAGGATGTAGTAAACGTTTGGGGAAATTGTCATGTTGGCATGTGGGTGATACACTGCCAGGGCGACCAGATCTAGACAAGAGGAGGATTAGGGTCCTCAACCAAAGCCTTTAGCTCAAAAGTCAGACTGCAAGGTATCGGATGTGGTAACGATTCGGTTTTACAGAAATGGACGCCATCCCATTTCAAACCCCCAACCTGGAGGAACAAGAGACTGAGTTCGTCTGACATCTAACCGTTGATCAACCTGGTAGGAGTAGCTCAATAAATCGACGAGGTACGCAAACCGTTACACCCCGTTAAGGCACAGTCTCGTCGTGATCTGATGACAAAAAAGGCGAAAAAAGGAAAAATCAATTTGAACAGTTTCATTATTCAGCGAAATTGCCCAAAACATCACTTCTGACGATGTCGTAGTCGCGAAAAGTCACCGATGGGTTCAGTAATCCTATGCGCGTGTAACATAATTGCGTAGCCCAAAACGCCAGCTCGAAAGTAAAGAGTGAACAACCTGTCAGATACCAGTGTTGGCTTGCATCATGAACAAGACTGGAACATGGGACTCGAACGTGAACTGGGTTCTCCGTACCTCGACATACCCAGAAGCACCTGCATAGAGGCTGTCGTCAGTGCTATCTGAGTTTAAACAGTGAGTGACTCGGTGAGCAAATGAGTAAAAGACGGTCGCAGAGAGTCATTAATGTTTAATTTGATCACAAAGAAGGGATAGAGTGGCAAAGGCAGAGACCGAAGTGAGGGTGCCAGTGTGGGGACCCTATCATAGTATTCACTGTAATCTGATGCTGCACTGCAGAATGATCATACCTACTCGTGTTGATGCACCAAATAACAGCAAACTAGGATTACAAGTCAGTCAAACAACCTCTGTAGAGTTGTGGCTAAACAGGAAAACTTATTCGATGGGGTTTCCTAGACAACAGCTGATGGTATCAGCTTTCAACATACGTGGCACACTCCGTGTACGGTAGTTGGCAGCTGCTTGGCAGAGACAAGTGCGTCAATACAAACAGATGCCCCGTAGAAATGGCTATTTGATTCACCCAACTCTTGGTCGAGTGAGGGTGACTACCGTAGATTCCACCGAGATAACAATAGTCGAGGAGTAATACCATGCGTCCCAATACGGCGCAAGGATTGACTGTGTATAGTACTTACTTGGCTCCAAGATCCATTCAACGAGATGGCGTCCACATAGGCCACCTGCTCTCCACCTTCATATTTAACCACTGTGGTATGACGTGTTTCCACATGGGTGTAGCAATAGAGCGCACTCACACCGGATTCCAGACGGGTGCCAATCGGAGGGAATCCGTCCCGATCCAAACCCGATGGTGGGTCGCCGGGTGCTCCTGTTTCGGGTAGTGGCAAGGGAGAGGAGAACACAGATGTGCAAATCAGATACCATGTAAAACAGAAAAGCGCGTTATGATAGACCAAGAAAATGGCAGGTCTATTACAGTAAAGTGATGGGCAAAATGGAGCGATTCCTAGGTAGGATAAGCGACGGCGGCGCATGTAGCCGACAGTAAGCAACTAGGATTCCTTCACGGAGAGGTGAGATCTACCGGTTAGGCGATTTAGGGGTAGATATTTCGGCTGACATCCCAAAGGTCCTAAGCTCGAGGCCTGCTATCTCTACTGGATGAGATCAAACAAGATTGAAAGGCTTAGTGGAGCGCAGTGCTTCCGAGCGGACAATATCTAACATCCAGTTGATTCACTGGTTACAGTCCCAGTGATCGAATTGGACACGGTTCGCCTCAATGCAAATCAAGGGGTCAACAAGGAGATTGCGCGTCGCAAGCCAATCACACAGTGTCAGAAATGATCCCCCCATTAGTCAATAACCGTGGTGCAAGTGTTGCTCATCGTGACTAGGTGACTAAAGGAGTAGAGGCTTCAAGGAACATCCCGATAGCATCAGTTTCGATAGTCGATATCTCTACCTGATGGGATCAACTCTGCTAGAAACCGGTCGGTAGTGTTGGGAGCGCAAAATGTCCAATATTCATCTGTTTCAGATGCAGCTGCAGTGACCAAATTGACCACATATATGGTTGGCGGCACCCGGTTTCGGATTTGCCTGTCACTGTGGCCAACCAAAGGACGCCTGCGTCTACAGAGGGACCATGGATGGCTTGCGCTACACCACCCACATCTCTATCCACACACCTCATATCCAGTGTAAACCCGAAGGAATAAGACCGGGAGGCATGTGGATGGGAGCCACGTTTCATCAACAGAGCCGGCCCACACTCCTTCACAGGCAAACACAAGCACGCCGCATTTGGGGAATCAAGCGCACACAAGGCGGTGGCTGGATCGTAGTCCGCCACACACTGGGTGCATGGAACCGCTCTTCGAGCCTAGCACGGCCACAAGGACCGTGCACCCCGTCCCTTCTAGCAACGACAAACTGTCTCCTGGAGCCAGTATGAACGATGTAGTGGATAATAGACAGGTAGGCACTTTGTCAACATGCACATCAAGCGCAGCCACACCGGGGATATCAAACAATAGCCAATCACCTGGAACGACAAGATGAAATAAAGTAAATCGAATAATGTATACAGATACGGTGGCATAACTCTTCCCTAAAGTAGCATATGAAGTAAGTTGGTTGGCAACGAATCCGCGATGAGGAAAAAATGTCCAAAAGTTACTTAGAATGCTACAAGCGCAACAAAGTTACCGAAGATAAGTGCAATTCGCGTAAGCAACGTGGCCAGTTAATAGAAGATTATTCAGGTAGGCAGAACAAACCAAATAAAGTGGAATGAAATTTATCAAGCTTAAAAAGACCTACTTTAAGTGTAAGTTGGTTTAGTCCAACTGCGGTGAAGAAGCATCAAAAATGCAATATATATATATATATATATATATATATATATATATATATATATAATCAGCAGTCTATAAGATAGACATAGAGCCGGTAAAAACCATGAAACGGAAGTAAAAATACAGAGGCCACAAGGAAAAGAATAATAGTTGAAAAAATATTTTGTTTTGAATCGTAGACCTTTTTCGTTTTTCTTTCACACGCCGTTTTATCATTTGTTGTCCATTCAATGTTCACGATGTAAATCAGGAAAATCAAGACAAAGATTTGTACATATTTTCCATTGGGCCCGGTTCTGCCCCATCTCCGAAAGAGTTTCCAGCTAGCGGTATTCGTCATGTTTGATCCCCCAACCCGGAAGTCGCACGGCACCTACGACAGCTAAACTGGAAGTCAGCGTTTTAATCGTTTGTTGCCACGTGAGAGGCTGAGCACCACGTGATTTCTTCCAGCCTCGTACTTTACAAGCGAAGTGAGCGCGTCGGGGCAGCCGCTCGCATGGCATGTGTAAAACTTGGCCCAGCCATCTCAGTTGGTGCAGCGGTACCAGTCTGTCAAGTGAAAGTCCCGTGTTACCTAAGACTTCTAACACTATCGTCGTGCACGTAGTACATCCACCACACTCGGGCTATACTCCGTAGACATCCATTGTCAAAAGCCGAAATCCGATGCAAGTCACTCACACGAATCGGCCAGGACCCACTCCCGTACAACAGCACTGCGCGAACACAGGCATTGTAGACCATGCCCCATTACCAATAGTGAAACGTCACGGCATCGCCCCAGATACTTCAAGTTAGCGAATGCCGAACAGGTTTTGGCAATTCAAAGTGAGTTGTAGTCGTGGTTTGATTTTGTAAAAGCACCGGCCGATGTATCTAGCTTGTGGGTATGTAGAGCACAGGATTAGGCCAGGGGAAAGATCCGTGCTCAGCAGACAACATAATGAATGGTCCGATAAATTTTGCACGCTTGTACCCACGGATGTCGCGGATTTTTGGATCAGCGTGTGCTGGATACTATTTTTGTCTCAGAATACTGTGTTATCAGCGTTTTATCTGTGTGAATTGTGCACCAATATTCTTCTTTTGGCGTATTTTCCAAGCGGTGCAAATTTGGCGGGTATTCTTTGGCTAATTCCGGAGACCTCATTGATTTGCCCTGTTGCCATCTCTGTCCGCCATCTTGGATTTGCTCTAGCTTGTGATGTCGTCTCAAGCTACGTGTGGTTCGTGTTCAAAAGTGGTTGAAAGTAAGGCTCATGCACCTCGGTGATTCGGCTGTGATGTTTTATTCCATATTTCGTGCATTGGCTCATGCATTGACGTGTTTCGAAAATCGTTCGACATCAGACATCGGTTTTTTCAAGTCATAAGTGATAAATGTCGCGGTACAAGACATCAGAATACGCAGCGACCGCAAACAACTACGGGAGAATCTCTCTTTCAGATAGAAACAAACCGTTCACCACGTGGGATCAAACGCCCTCGTGAAAGTACCTCTGTCATCTCGCCTTCTATTGTCACTCCCCGATCTGCACCACCACCAGCTTCTTCGACCCCGGCCGAGCCCCAGCTTCAACGTTCCCCACCGATGGAAGACAGACTCGGAACCTACGAAATGCCGCTTCACTGATCGGTCCGTGAATTTCTCAGAGCCTGTCTGTGAACTTCTGAACACCGAGGATCCATGGACCACTCAAAAGCACAAGGGCCTATGTAATCGAGTTCAGACGTCACCTGCTGATAAACAACAACCCAATCAATTAAGCACCTCTAGTTCTGCTCCCAAAGGTTCAGCACTGGTTTCGCTGAGGCGTCATAATCTCATGGTCTTCCATGTACTGCAGTCAAAAGATGAAAACCCTCGGATACGTTATGATCACGATGTTGAGTTCCTCCAGAGGCTCATCGATAGACTCTTGGATGTGAGCAAAGACAGTGTGACGATTAAACAAGTAATCCGACTTGGCCAGAAAACTAACCAGTCATGTCGACCTCTGAGAATCACCTTTGAAAATCCTAATATGCCGCAGCTCATACTGTCTCATCTTTCGAGGCTGAAAGGCATAAAAGTTCACATCCGCCGAGACTTGGAATCCGAAGACGTTTGAAGACTGAAGTCATTGAGCTCCAACGCCATACAGAGGAAGGTGAGACTAACTTAGAAATTGTATATTTTCGGGTGATCAAGAAGGGTGTATGAACCCGTATCAACCGGTTGCTCCATCTCCAGGCACGTCGCGCAGTACCTCCCAGGATCTCCGTGTGGCATTCGCCAACGTGTGCAGCCTAATGAACAAACATGGCGAACTGTGCCGCTTCGCTGTCTCGGAGCGGCCGGACGTTTTAGGACTTCCAGAGACTTGGCTGAACTCCGACGTCATACCCCAAGAAGTCGTGTTGTCAGGATACTCTTGTTTCCGATGCGACCGAAAATCAAAGTCTCACGGTGGTGTTCTGTTGTACATAAAATCGTCACTATCTGGCAAACTTACCAGCACCTATCAGGGCGAGGATAGTTTATGCGAGCAGTTGTGGTGCACAATCCGCCTCAGGCGCGCAGAACTAATAGTGAAAGTTATCTACCGGAGTCCATTAAACTGTTGTTGCGATTGGCTACCACATGTAGAGAAGCACATGAGCCGCCCTCAGTTCTTACTGATGGAGGATCTAGATTTACCTGATATTTTGGCCATACATCCGACTTCTTCCCGGTCATGGCAACGTTGAGGCTCAATTTGCTAAAATGACTACTGGAATCGGGGCAGCGCAACATGTCATCCAACCGACGCGCGTAACTCCGCACTCGGCATCTTGTCTGGACCTAATGTTTACGAGCTGCGAGCAGAAGCTGAACGAGATCAGAGTCATCGAACCTTTGGCGAACAGTGACCACTGCTCCATTGTGGCAAGCTTAGAACTGTTGTTACCATATTACAATCAACGGAAGCTGACATACAACCATTGGAAGACGGACATCAACGGGCTCGTCCAAGCTGCAAGTCAGACTGATTGGACACTACTACAGGATGCGTCACTTGAGGCCTGTTGGTCATTAATGAAGGGGAAGATTAACTCGCTCTGAACTCGGATCGATCCCCATAAGTATTCAAAAATCGGACTTGTCAAACCGGATTGGTTTGATACGGAATATAGACAGTTAGCGCGACGGCGTCACAAGGTAAAAAAGGTATCAGCTTATACGCCGTAACGGCGCTTCGCTGCCGCGCGACCACCACCAGTCGCGCGCGGGCTGAGTATATCGCGAGGACGCCCACCCCTACGCGGAGTCGAACCGGTGACCTTATGGTTGCAAAGCAAACGTGCAGACCACTCGGCCACCGGCGTCACAAACTTTGGGATAGATCCATCAGCTCGGGTTGTGATGAAGATTACACAGTGTACAAGAAACAGTGTAACTTATGTAACGCCGCAAAGGTCAAGAAAAGCCAGCAGTTCGAAGAGGAACTAGCATCCTCGGACACAACTGCACTCAAAAGAATATTTGCCTACTTGAAACGTCAACTGAAATCCGGGGGCGACCTAACGGTCTTAGAGAGCTCGGACGGAAAGATGCTCATTTCAAGCGCGGACGTCTTGGCTACGCACTTTCTCACTGTTTTTCCAGTAAACCGGCGGCGGTTTCAGTAGCGGCACAGGTTGCGCCAGTCTTGCTCGACAATGTGATGCAGTCTAAGTGTATCAGCTACTCGTCAACCTCAATGGTGCAAAGCCCCCGGACCAGACGGAGTTCACCCACTAATATTCAAGTCCCTATCGATTATCATCTTACCAGTCGTGACGAACCTATTCAATAAATCGCTCTCTGAAGGATCTGTCCCGAACGACTAGAAATGCTCGATAGTGAGACCGCTTCCCAAGGGTGGTGATCCGAGTAAAATAGAGAACTATAGACCGATCTGCTTGACTTCGGTATTATCCAAAGTTCTCGAGGTTGTGAAAAAGTGTCTGCTGTCGTTCTTCGAATCGATGGACGTATTGATGTCAGCGCAACACGGTTTTACGAAAGGATAATACTGCATCACCAACTTGATGTATGCAAACCACCAGTGGGTACGAGCTCTCAACGAACGGAAGGATGTTGACGTGGTGTACGTCGACTTAAGTAAGGCATTTGACAGAGTGAAGCACGAGGTACTCCTTTGTGGACTGAGGACATACGGAATCGGTGGCACGTTATTTCAGTGGTTACACGAGTTTAATGTGGGACGAAGGTTTAGAGTCCAGATCAATGACTACCTGACAGACTGGTTCCCATCGACCAGTGGGATGCCTCAAGGAACTGTACTTGGGCCAGTATTATTTCTTATTCATATCAACGATCTACCGCAGCAGCTCCAGTCACCATGTGCCTTGTTTGCAGATGAGTTAAAAACTTTGCGGATCATTGAGAACCAGGACGACTGACCTCGTCTCCAGCATGACTTAGATCGACTGGCAACGTGGTCCACTGAGATGCAACTCCCTCTTAACGCAAGCAAGTCGAAGTTCATCAGTATCATCAGACGTCCAGCCACTCGATCATACACTTTGGACGGCCAGTTGCTCCATTCCAACACATTTGCTAGAGACTTAGGAGTTCTCTCACGACATGATGAGATCACTAGAAAATACAGAGAAATTGTACCGTGCGAGACTTCGTATGCTCTGGGCATTAAGATGCAGTTTCTCCACATGGTCCGAAGAAACTGTCCGTCGTCTATTCACCTCGCTCATTAGACTAATCCTTGAATACAATGCCCTAGCTTACCATCCGATAACCCAGTGGGAAGATGAAAAGCTGAAGAAAATACAGCATATCGCCACTAGAATGATACCGAGTGTACGAAAACTTCCGTATGAAAAACGTTACGAAAGACTCGGACTCTACACACTATCCTACTGCCGAGTAAGAATTGATCTTATTATGACCCATCGAGTACTACATTGAAATCACTTCCCCAGACTGCGGCCAATATTTCACCTGTGAGAACCTTGTAACACCCGAGGACACCGTTACAAACTCAGGGTCCCAGGCATGAACAAAGTATCACATCAACATTGTATCGAACGAAAACTCGTAGACTAATGGAATACACTACCAGAAGGATTAATAGAGGCCGATTCTGTGAAGTGTTTTAAAACCCGTATAGACGATTATTTCGGAAACCTGTGCTTTTGTGAAACGATGCACATACAATGCCAAAAGAAGACATCGTATGCCCGGAACTAATGACACCAATACAAATTCCTAAGCGAACAAGGATAAACGATTAACGGACCAGACACAAATACTGACGATTCACAACCAAATGTTTTTGATTTTTCGTAATTCAACGGAGTTCTACAGAAACCTTTCTACTTGTTCTTAAATACAGTCTCAGTCACAGTCTCACACTTCATGCTTGTCTGCACTCGTAAAGCAGAGAAAACAGGGTCAAAAATCGGACCCGGGAGCTGTTACCAAACTCAAGATTTTCTATGCATACGCTTGGAAGTCATCATTCAGAATACTTTGTGGACAATCTGCTGGGTGATGTTTCGCTTTTGATACAAAAGTGAAACTTCTTCGGTTCCCACGTCGGACATGAACAAAGTTTCCCAGGAATCGCGGTCAATAGTTTAAAGTCAACAACACACATAGCAGGCAGATCGCTGACCAAAACAACACCGGTCACATAGCAGTCTGTTTTTACATACAGACGTCTCTGTAACAAAAATAGCTTTTGCAAAGCCCCCATATGAGCGCTAAAAATGCGTGCGGTAGCTACTCAGGCGATGCAACCACCTAAGGGGATAGAAACAGCCGTTAGATAGGTACAATAAGAAATCATGATCTGATGATAGTTGAAGCGTCAGAGATACAAAGCAGGGAAGGAAACAGAGCAGCTCCACGAGCTCATGAACACATGGAGGAACTGACGAAGGCAAGCAAAGTGAAATTAAAATACGCACCAAAATAGTGTTCACAGGCAGCCACTTTACGACGCCCACCCGTCGCCATTTTTGCGAGTAAAGAAAGATCAATCACATCTGATTTATATACACAGGCTGCAGCGAAACCACGTTCGAAAGACGCTTTGTTGATAACCATAGCATCATCCATGTCGTAACCCTGAAGAGAAGAGGAAAACAAAAACAAACACGAATGGGTTAACACCACGGGTGGTGGTGGTGCTGAGCAAAACCAATACCACATCATAGATTGTGACGAGTGAAATAAAGGTTCAACGGTCTGTATCAACTCGGACGGTTAGTCTAGTTAACTAGAACAGAGTGCTAAGCAGCTGATAGTTTACTTAATCATAAGACAACAATTTGCGAATGCAGACAAAGTTGAGAGGAGAGTGAAGTAAACAAAACTGAATGCCTGAGAAGCCAATTTGACTCCGCGCGCTCAAATGCGGTGTCGCGTGGCTCCGTCAAACGAAAGATGTTATTAGGTGACCAATGGTGGAAAGATATCACTCAAATTCATTAAAATCGACATAAAAGGAGCAGATCCGCAAGGGCATTGTGAATAAGCTTAAGGAGAGGGAGAAAACGCTTCAGCAGTACGCAGGTAAGCAGTACCGACTCTTCGCTGCCGCGCAACCACCACCAGTCGTACGTAGCCTAAGGACACAGCGAAGGTTGCCTGGTCCCTACGCAGACACAAACCCGGGCTCTCGGATTACAAGACAGGTTTGTGATCCACAAAGTTACGGGCGGGCGAGGTTGTTTCAAACCCCACAGTAATTGTGGAATCAACTGTGCATACGGGGCAGTCATGTGTAACCTATCATTACAAGAGTCTAAGAAGGCTATCTAACTTGATTGATCAATTTAATGGAACAGCAAAAAGCGTAGAAGGGCGGATACATGTACCATGATCCAAGGCAGTATTGGGGTAGTAATTTTGACCGGATAAAGGGTGTTAAATGCAAAATGGAAGAGGGAGATGAGGGAAAAAGCATGCGAAATTATTCAAGATACAACGCTATCGGCAAAATGTAAGGGTCCTGATATAAGACTGCCATTGATTTTACGAATGCGTGAAGATAGACAGGGTAAACAGCCGCGGAGATTGTCCACTCCGCGACCGCCATCCGCGAAGACGACATAGACCTGTTCAGGCAAGTCGTAGCCAATTCCTCAATACAGTCTTCTGCCACATCGTCATCTAGCCATCTTGTGTCTTCCGCTAATCAATTACTTCAACAGCAAACAATGCACGGTATCGCAGGCAGTCAGTGGATATGTGAAGGACATAATTTATTCAATGTAAGCGGTTCAAGTCTGACAGACACCCTCCAGCGTGTCCCCAGTGGATTGCTTCCCAAACACTGATCGGCGATCAAATATGACCAGTCGCCTGATCTCACCAGCGCACAGTGGATGTGTTACTGATCCATATGGCAACACCACTCTGATAGGGCGATATTCCACCGCCTCCGTAGATAATGGGGGTATGCAGGAACCCACTATATAATACTACCCGCCGCGTGGATAATTGAACCACAGGATCGGACAGCTACCTAATACTGCAAACTACATTGGTGGGGCAACCTGAATGTAGCAAGCAAGATGATAGTTGCCGTCAACACGTGACTAGCAGAGAGGGATGGATTGAATGAGGATGAGGAAACTAACTCACCGTATACGACATCACAGCCACTATTGCATTAAATCCGAGAGGATAGTGGTCCAAATCGTATTTGACGTAGGTTTTAGTTCGCACCAGTGGACTTTGCGGACACAGTAAACGATATGCCTTGGAATCAGATCGGTGTTGCCAAGTATAGCTCGCGTGGCCCATGCTCTGTTTCGCCATCTGGCACTGGTACATATTCCGAGGAGACTGATGGTGGGTATAGAGGAAGCGAAGAAGAGGAGATGTAGAACAGTGGTGGATGGAACTTCATAGAAATAATCTTACCTGGATTCTGGAACAATACATACTTGATTAAAGTCTTGATACGGTGTAAGCCCAGCGACAAAACTAAATATGCCCTCCGGAGCGAGTTCAATGTGGGACACAGAGTCGTCAGCACGCTCGGCCCATTCAGCCTCGTTCACAGCGATGTCCAAGTAGGCTTGTTCAAACGTGCCGATCCATTCGACGAGGCCACCTGCCTCAACCTGCTTTCCGTTGCGTACGTTCCGCACGGGCCTCAACAGGCGCGAACCACCAGTGAAGAGAAACAGACCGGGATACTGCGAAGCAGCGTCTGTTGGGGGGACAAGAACAATTTCCAAAGAGTATGGGACTAGGTCAGATTGTGCGTCCAATTTAAGATCACGTAACTCATTGGCAAGTTCGCTGGCATCATCGATGGAAGAGCACCAACCGACAAGACGACCATCAAGAAGCACTTGCAAGGCGTTCTGTTCCTCAGCAACACCAGAGAGTTGACGGGACAACTCGACCGGCCGAAGCCGTTGAGTGCTAAGCCACGCGGCAAGACTATCCACTGTCGATTGTTTGGGAGTTTCACACACGGCCTGAATAAAAGGTGGCATAAACGGGTGGAAATTAAAAACAAAACGAAGAAATAATGGGAACTAAAAGGACAATAAGAAAGTGGCAGTGTTTGTTGGGAGAAGGGAACTGCAATGAGCCCATCTTTGCACTAATACCTGGACGTCTCGGTGGTAGCAGAATAAAAAAATTGGGTGACAGGTAGCCGGTGGAGGACGACGAAGTGCAAACAATGGCTGCTATGTAGTAGAGCATGTAAGCTTTTGTAATGTGAGTGATGAACGAGGAAGTGTGACTCTCACGTAGCCCAATCGTATACGAGTACGTCGTCGTGATGCTGTCCAATTGGAATCGCACTCAGCTGCAGTGGATCAAGACGGCAGGCCAATAACTAGTACATCAGCTGGTAACAAGTCAAAGGGTTCAGAATGGATTCGACAACCAGTGGGTGTATTTAATGAGAGGAACGAGGGAGCTAATAAAATCACGAACGGCCACACATGGTTCCAATTGTGGGATGACGTACTCGACAGAGCTGATGATAGTTACTAACATAAGTAGATAAATGATGGGAGCGGCTAGAATCGATAGTCTCAAGTTACCGTCAACGCAAAACTGATGCTAACATAGCGTTCGACTTTGTCCGCCAATACTTGCGAAGCGGACTGATGAACTGCAGAACACGTGTACGAGATGTGTCACAACAGCGACGTACTAGTACGAAGTCCACACACTTTGTCCAATGGACTAGAATGGGTACATTAGTTTAAAGAAGGAATCAGTACTAGGCCGACACATTGTACCGACGCTTCGCTGCCAAGGGACCGCCAACAGTCGCGCGAGGATTGAGTATACAGCGAGGTTGCCAGCACCTACGCGAATTCGAACCGGTGACCTCCGGACTACAAAAGAGGAAGGTAATCCTCTCAGCCACCTGGCAGATTGCTGCACTTCCTATCCCTTCGAGTGACTGCATCAAATGCGACAACTGGATGGATACGCTTCGTTGTACAGAGTACAGGTAATTAACGGACCCGAGAGAAAAAGTGACCACGGCGCCGCGATTAAAGAATCATGGGTTATACGTTGCCGTCTGCTGTCTTTGGAGTCGTGGTTATTTCAGATAAGCAACTGAATCAATACGAGGGCTAGATGGCTGTAGTGAAGTTGGAGCCAACTACCATGCAAGCGGTTCTGACACAGGGCACTGCGCGTCCGTGCGCGCCTTGCATCTACTACAAGGACGTGGACACGGTTGCGGGACTACGATGATGGGTTGCCCGCAGCCGATAGGCCCAATACTCTGGCAGATTTAAAGAACAGGTAGTCAAATGGGTTATTATTATGCGGATCTGTAAAGGACGTGTGACTTCCAAGGCTCCAATTATATGTGGAGATGGCATGACGGCAAGTCATCCGCTAGAGATGCAGCGTCCAACGATTAGTCGAAGGGGTGTGTGTAGATCCGAGACAAGCACTAAGCACGGAGCACAGAAAGAGGTCGTGTGTCTGAGATGACACATGTATGCGAAGCATACCTTGTGTAGCGAACACCCGTCAGTTGCCTTCTGGCAACAAAATCCACGGATTAGCATCAAATCGTCTTGTGAATTCGAACTGTAAACCGTAGATAGCTTAATCGGATGATCGTGGTTCGTCACTAATACACAATCGGTGAATGAAGCCTCAACCGATGATGTGGTGAAAAGAAGACCGAAACGGCGATCTGTAGGTGTCACGAAGTAGGCGCCTACCTTACTCGGCCATCGACCGAGGAATCGAACAAAGGTAGTGTCAAAAGAGCCAATGCAGTAAACAGAGTGGGAAATGTAAGCTGTCCGCTCGTATTTTATTTATTGAAAAAGCAAAAAGACACCAGCGACTTACGAAACTAGACCATGGGCGACGGCGACAGACCGTCAGGATGAAGCGCTGTCCACTGCAAAATTCATAGCTTGTATGACAGTGGAGTCTGGGTCGCACTACATCGTAGTTAGCCTATATAAGTTATGACGAGCTGTCATCGTCACCCATGGCCTGGTGGTACAGGTGGCCGGCGTCCAGAGTTTATTGGTTCGGATTCCGATGGGGCCACGGGGTACGCATCACTGACGAGTCCCAACAGGGCGAAACAGTCATCAAGTGCTTTCCATATCGTGACTGTGATCTATCCGCAAAGAATTATCTATCAAAAAATTACATCAAAATAATCCCCATTCTGATATGTAAATGCAAAAACAGATGCTTCGGAGCAGAGACAAGAGTCAAACCGTGTGTAGCGAATAGGTGCGGTTGGACATGAAGTTACAAGTACTGGATCGATTGCAGACAGTACTGGCATCCAACAGAGAGAGAACTGTAAAAGATGCACCAACACATACGCAGCACAAACCACGCCTAAGAACTCGAGATTGGAGTCAAGAAGAAAGGGAAAAACTCACATCTACTGGTTCCGCCAAGTGGTTAAGTAGACCACACGGTGCCCCATCAGGTGTGTGCACCGGACAAATGAATCCCCAGGCTTCGGGTAGAAGGCGGCGGATAGAAGTGGTCCGAATATCGGTGAACATGGAGCCTCGGTGCACGGCACGAAACTGAGCGGCTAGTCGCAGAAAGTTCACATTGTCCGCTGCGACGCTCAGTCCGCTCGCTTGGCCACCAAATTGAGCAGCCAAATCAGGTCGGACGGTCGGCGGGATATTGCCAGTACAGAGAAGATAGTGGATAGCACTACTGATATCTGAAGCACGGTTGGCCAACGATTGTTGTAGATGCGCTAAGGAGGAGACAAAAACCAAAAAGGACAAATGGGTAATGGAACTTGTGGCAATAGAAGTACAGGACGGTGTGTGTGTGTGCAACAGATGGGTCAGTGAAAGTTAGGAACATAGCAAATAAGATAAAGAGCAATGCATTCATAGAGGCGACTGACGTGCGCCTCAGGTCTACCCAGATGATGACGAAACGAGGAATGAGCGACAGTATGTGATTCGATCAGTCGAGAGCGATTGGTGCAGTAAATGGCGCACATTTTGCACCAAGATCGTAATCCTCAAAATACCCACCCGTGATAAATGAACAAATAATGAAAGGAAAATTTAATATTTCGGCAGAAAGACAAATCGCATGATATCATTCTTGTTGCTGTAGACTTGTGATTGTGCTGTCATGCAGTGCGTTCGGCTGGGGTAGCCTGAGAGACGGTCAGATGAAGCATCGATGGACCCAGCTCCTGAGTTACGCAAGCGAGATTCAAATACATTTCTAAAAGACGGAAGTGGTGTGGCATCGGCCTCGCGCATGGTCAGAATTATCAAGTTGTCTTCGCACAAGAGTGCGTTGTATTCAGCCGATCGATCGATTCTCTTCGAAATACATGCGCAGAAAGGTGTTCCCACGAAATATGTGAACATCCTACGTGCTCTATACTCAAACACTACAGGCCACGTCAGGGTCTACGGTGGCCTAACGGATAGCTTTTCGACAACAAGTGGCGTTCGTCAGGGTTGTCCGATTTCCCCATTTTTGTTCAATTTCGTCGTGGATTCTATCATGGAGTGTTCCCTTGCGGAATCTCACGATGTAGGCGTTGAAGTGCTGCTTGGTGAAAGGTTACTTGATCATGATTATGCGGACGAAGTCGTCTTGAATTTCGACAATGTTGTGGCGGCACCATCAACTCTGAATAGCCTGTGGTCCCATTACTTGGTATGCACTTCGCACCTTCAAAGTGCAAAGTGTTGCTGCAGGTCCACCAGCCACTTTATGACCCTTCGACCCTTGCTAACGAGGAACTCGAGGTGGTTGATCAATTCACTAATCTTGGCAGCTGCATCAGCCACGATGGGCGCATAGAAACTGACGTCAGCTCACGCATTGCAAATGCTAGAGCTACCTTCTTGAACCTGCGCCATCTTTGGCGACAGAAGCGAGTTTCCCTCCGTCTGAAAGGCCGAGTATACAAGGCCACAATGAGGGTTGTTCTGCTCTATGGGAGCGAGACCATACCCCCTCCTCGGTCTGAAAATCTGAGGCGCCTTCAAGTCTTTGATCATCGTTGTTTGCGAAGCATTTCTGGTGTCGGATGGCACCAGCGTGTCCACAACGATGATGTGCGCAAGCGAGTATTGGGTAGTGATAATCATGCTAGCTCCCTAGAAGAACAGATAGCACTGAATAAGTTGCGTTGGTTCGGGAACGTGCTACGTATGCTTTGTCACTGCTTACCTGGGAGGACGTTGTTCTGCCTGACAAGTGTAGGGTGGCGCAAGGCTCGATCGAGGTGGACAGAAGTTGACTTGGCAGCGGGAAATGAAGTCACTGACGACCAAACTGGGTGCCGTTGGTCCGTCTCGCCATTTGAGAACGTGTCCATGTGACTCGCCTTGAGCTTTGCTCGAGACTTTACAGGACACGGATTGCAACCGACACCAGTGGCGCGTCTGCTGCCGTCTCCTAATTGGATTGCCTGTTTAAAGTGTCTTTGGCGCTGAGTCAGTTGCGAGGTAATGGCTGATTATGACGCGAGGCGGTGAAAGCCGCAAGGAAGCTTTCACAGCGATGCCGCCTTATCTTCGCACGATGGCCAACCGTTTGTGACAGTATGTTGTTTACACAAGGTGTAGGCGCTTGGACCCTGAATGTTTGCATAGGGCATTAAGGTTTTCAGGTAAGTCCCCCTTCTCTCCCTCTTATTATTCTTTATTTCATAGATCCTCTTGGTTGTATGGCAGCGAAGCGCATCAGTTCAAATGGCTGATGTACTTTTGTTGTTGATGCACAAACCAAGTTGTTGGCATTTGGCTCTAAGGTGTTCACTGTATCATTGGATCAGGAGTTGCTTGGAAGTAAATCCGGACCAGGAGGGGTTCGGTGTCATTCTCTCCAATCACTAGAACCCGTAACGTGTTTTGTCCTTGTTTGGATCATTATTTAGAGCTGGGAATTGAACTTAGCACATAGTACTTGCGGTCATTGGTATGTTCGTTAAGTTAATGAGTTCCTCGAGCAGTGCTTGACCACCATTAGAAGTTTATCGTCGGGTGTTTGAGAATCCGACCATTCGGATCCAAGAGCCAGAGGTGTGTAAAGTTGCCAACTCCCAACCCCACACCTCACGAGCGAAATCGTCCTTATTTGAACTCAGGAAGTGGAGCGAGTCGCAAATTGGAGTCGAACGAGGAACAAAGCGGTTTTCTGACAGAAATCCGTACCACCATACCAGTCAAGTCACTGAACAACGTAAGTAACAGTGGCGCGTAATTCACTTGTGGGACGAAGTCTGCCGGAAAATCGCGATGTTTGGAGTTTGAGTCCCAATTATAGCTATCGTCACCAAAGGATTGCAAACAAGAACTGGTATTTGGGAACGCTAATGTAAAGGCGAACGACACAGAAAATCCCTGAGAGTGCGTCTGGCATGTCGAGATCGTCATTGTTCCCTGTGCCTAACTCCAAATAACATTACAGTGCTGATAAGCGGAATTGTAGCGATCTGTGACAAATACACCGAGATGAAAGGCGTGTTGTGCTGAAGTCGAAGTTAACCAATGAATAGAAAACGATCTGTACTAACAGAATGAAAAAGAGCTTACCGAGCGTGAGTTTCGTCTGTCCTTTTCGTGGCCGAGATAGAACATGTTCCTTGGTTGAGTGTATCAGTTGTCTGATTTTCTCCTAAAAGAAACAGTGTTGGTTGCTTCAAAACCGTAGGTAAGAGAAATTGGTGAGAGACTCCAAAAAAACACTGTCAAGCAACCTAATGCACACCCTCAAAGATCGACGCGTACCGTAGTCGATGGGGATACGTAAGGTAATCAGATGTGAACTTTAGACCCGCAGTTTCTTTCTGTTCTACACTCATTAAGGACATTAACCTCTGCTTTCTTAAAATTGCTCGTTTCTTCGTCCTCGTTGATCTAACTCAGTTTTCCACTTCTCCAGAGCATAGAACAAACGATTCGCAACAGAAATACTAGCATCTTACAAGCCTCAGCAATGATCGCTATGTATATAAGAGATTATAAAAATAAAACGCTCACCATGTCCTCTGCTTTGCTGCAGGTTTCAAAGGGTCACTGTTTGTTAAATATGTGACAGAGACCGGTTCAAATATATATGCTTAGGGAAGAAGATCGGATAGCTGGCTCGTAAGATCTATCCACCACAAACGGAGATGGACGGGGCAATAGCTAAATTTTAACAACTAAAGTTCTATGCACTATAACCGCTCCCTGGTTGGTGTTTCTTGTGAGATCCGGTCGTATCTGTTCTGAAGACAAGATTGAAAAAGAAAAGGAGTAAATTTCAAACAAGTATCCACCGCACTGCCTTATAAAGACGAGCAAAAAGACAGTCGTTTTCGCCATGACTTGTGGCACGTCATAAAGTGATGATATTGTGAAGATGAGCTTGTGTTGCTCGGTGAAAACAAAAAGATGCTACAAGACAAGCTTCATTATCATGACCTCGCCTTGTTGTTTACCAGTTTAAGCGCATTTGCGGTACACATTCCACGGAATCTGGTTCCCAGTGGTGCAACATTGCCTGCAAGCTTCTCCGCCCGGCACTAAACAGCTCAATGTGGCAAAATCCCCGCGAGGCGTTTGAAGTTCATCAATGAACAGAATAATCCCAGGCTGCTGCTGCTGCTGCTATTCGGCGTTTGAAACTTAACCTGTGCAAACAGCTTGAGTTTGTGGCTAACCTAGCTTTGCTTTAGAATGGCGGGGCAGATTCGCTAGCACAAACGACCATTGATTGCTTGTTATTGGCCTGTCATTCTCAACCGTTTGAATTTTTCACCCATTGCATGCGAGCAAGTGAGGAGAATACGCGAAATGCACTGAAATGTTGCTTGTTCTTGCGTACTCGCTATATTCTATACATTTGCAAACCTCGTTCACTTGTTCCAGCTATCTACTATCGGATATTTTATCCCAGTCAATCTTTTCTCCTAATCTTTTCCGGAGTGAGTTCGCTGCCGATAATTTGCAAGTAAACACTTTAATGTCAATTTCCACGCTTTTGTTCCATTCTAGCTGGTTTCGCGACAGTCTGAGAGAGCAAATTATCCCTAAAGAAATACCAATGAATTTGGTGAAGCCATCCATCTCCTGGAACCATTGCAAGGAGGAAGTCAGACCAAGCCTTCCTCATGAACCCTAATGATTAGAGTATCGGCTATTGATTGTGTGATTGCTACTCATTGTTAACTATGCCACTCAACATTAATTTTGCAGCTCTGGTTTGCAAATTGTTGCAGGGATTTGCTTTCTTGAAAAGGCGATTCTGAAGCAGACGTCGTGTGAGTGGATTACGACATGTAATTTCAATCGAGGCTATAACACAAGTTTGAAGTGAGCCACGATCAAATGGGCCACTGGGCTCACATCTGAAAAAGATAAATGTTGGGTGCCATGCTCTCCAAACACTACACCTTAGATCGGTTTAGTGCTCGCTTACACTCGCCAGGTAGAGATAAAAGAAGAAGACATCATCAGTAGGCCGGTGGTACGTAGTACCGACGCCTCGCTGCCGTGCAACTACCACTAGTCGCACGTGGGCTACGGATACTGTGAGGGTTGCTCGGTCCCTACGCAGGCTCGGCCCCACGCCCTCGGATCACAGGGCAGGTAGAGATAGCATGACTGCGGCTCGAACTCGGGACCTTTAAAATGTCAGCCACCGCTGATGCAGCAAAATGTGAAATATCACGATCAGCCCTGCAGTTGGCTGAAGCTCGTGTTGTTGATCATTAAAAAGTGTCAACATATGTACACATCACAAAGGTCCAAGGTTAACGTGTGTCGGGACAACTTGGAATTTTCACAACTCCGGGGACTAAATTTTTCAGTCAACTGTGTGCTGGTGCATGTCACAACGGAGCGCATTCGTCTTCCTAGTGGGAAACTGTAGCAATGCCAGTTCGCCTTCAGACAGAATTCACAAACCTCATCTTCCGTGCCGCTCGATTGTTGCTTACAACTAGTTCATCTGGTTGGATCACGATTTTCAGGGATGGTTAAGTCCCCGTTCGGCTACCTGGACACCAAAGACCAAACCAGGACTAGACCAGACCAGACAAGAGTGAACAAGGCAAAGAACAGTTCAAGGAAGGATTACGTTTCGCTGCTCAAACTTAAAACGGTAAGTTAAAAGTACAAAAATGCAAGTATCACACGCTCTCCACATCTGCTGATAGTCGCACGGAGACGGACGGCAGTCGAAAACTTTTGACAATACAATGACTGTGAATTCCAAATTCACGAGAACAAAAATAGTTAACCTGTTCACTAACACTGTAAGCTTACAAATTTGGCTCTTTCTGTTACTCGTTGGTTTAGTGCGTCACACTAACTGCGTTTCCATATCGCTTATCGTTTGAAGGATACTTGTGGATTTAATTCTGTCACCTGCTCGCGAGTCGTTTCATTTATTCGTAAGTTTATTGTATTACATTGTCCATAATTACTACCGGAGATCCACGGTTTAATAGTACAACTTATTCCGACCACCGCGCCAAGTTTTGCTGCCAAAACTGTGCGTTTTGATTGCTCTCTGTCTCTGCTGTCGCAACAGTGAGGACATCGGTAAAGTCGCCACGAATGTGTCAAGAAAACGGGTCACCAAGGTACTCAAAATATCAGCAATAGGTGACAACGATAAGGGAATTGACAGCATGGATTTATAACACACAAAAGATGTTTGTTGCCAAAATCGCCACACACAACCCCGTATAAGCACACGAATTTTTAGAGTCGAGCATGGGGTCAAAGGCTCAGTGACTGTGAAGAGAGGCGTGAATTTCCAGTGCATCTTGACAAAAAACAGGAAACAAATGATGCAAGATGGACACAAGTGCAAAAAACTTACCCTCAAAATTTGCAGGTAAAGTGTGGAAGGAAGCAAAATCTCCTGGAATATAAGGTTGTCGTTGGATTCTTGGCAGCATCGTTCAGCGACGAATGCATGAAGCTTGCGAACCATCAGACTAGAAGTCAGCGAGACAAGGCATGACAAAATGGAAGGCTGGTACACTCAGTGCACAGACATAGTCAACAAGTGGGATGAAATGGCAGGCAGACGCTTCAAATCACATCACCAGCTAATGGTTCGCTGATCAAAAGCTACGTTAAGTAGGAACATACCAAAACCAGAGGGAAAATAGAAGGCAGTTCTACGACGGAATGTCAGGTGCATCGTCGAAACAGCAATGGGAATCAAATGGCCCAGATAGGTAAACACAAACAAGCTCATTGAGAAAATTATGCGACATCCTTGAGTTGTGTACATAGATGAATAAATGAGGTTCGGGTAGGACAAACAGGAAGTTTCCGTTCATCGGGAGGTCAGAAAGTGGAGAGTGATTGTCCGAAAGTTGCGTCCTTGACTGCCTAACAAAACTGGGAAGCAATTGTGTGACCTAAAAACCAGTGCTTAAGACGGCACAACTTAGGGATTGAATAACAAAAGGGGATAAGTATGCATCAATTGGAACTTGTGGGGTATGCTTACCAAAGAAGATGATACTTGTCACTGAACGAATCCAAGTGGATTGCAATATAATTCCTAAAAAGTAAAGGCAAGGGAGGATCGTAGGGAACAACCGTAGCAAATAAGCAAATAAAGGGGATCAAGAGGAGAGTAAACGATATGTAGTCAGGGATAAAGGTGTTGTAGACGAATATGATCCAAGGAAAACGCTGACTTCAATGACGGTAAGCCATATACAGAGGCTGTTAGAAGCGAGGCACTGATGAGTGGAAAAGGAGCAATCCAGGTCGAATATAGTGCATGTCTGATAAGCGAATAAGCAGGTACGCATTTATACAAAAGTAAAACGTGCAAAATGTTAATAAACGCTGTGGCTTGCGGACCTTTAGCTTGTAGTTCAAAGGTCACCGATTCGAAGCTGTGTAGGTGCAGGAGGTCTCGTCGTATCCTTAGACTGTGCGCAACAAACGAAGCATCGGTAAGGTGTGCCAACGTAATGCTTAGGCCTTTTTAATGGGCGATTATAAGTGGGGTGTTGAGACCGGGTTATTGTAATAGAGATAGTAGAGAGACTCACCGAATAAGGAACAGTCCCGCATCCTCATCGGAAATCCGGACTGGAACGTACATTCGGCCACGGAACAAGCGGCCCAAGGAGGACAAAGCACGCGTCTGGGAACTGTAGTCGTCTTCTTTAAGACGAACCAAAATTCGCATGGCCGTTCTGGGAAGAATAAACTCGAAGTGAGAAAGGCAAACAAACTGTGAGATCACGCTCCCTACCTCTGATGTCTAACGGTGAGCCGACAACACTTATCGAAAGGCAAGATGTGAGCTGTAAGAATTAAGGGTGGTGGGTGGAACGGATTGTACTGAAGTAACGGTAATTTTACACTAAGGAGTATAATGCAAAATGTAAAAATACAATGCAAAAGTACAATTATATACAGAAATGGCCCCACGTATTCCACTCAAACATATCGTCCGGGTATTTGTACCATATAAATCAATGTCCATACATAAGCAAAATCGAGACAATAAAGACTAAGAAAAAAAGAGAAAATAAATCATTAGCTAATTCAAATCTTGAACGTGAGCAATAGTGGCAATCCATCCGACGACCGTGGTTACAAATTTGAAGTACAAGTACATTGGGTATAAATAGGGAGTAGCCAATTTCCATCGGCGAATTGAAAAATCACAAACAATGCAACAAGCGTAGAAGAGGTCAGGCTCCGCCGGTGAATCGACTCGCTAACACCCACTTTGGAAGCCATCCAGCGCCAAAAAATAATCGTGCATGGGCGATACAGAGGGAACGTCCAAATGAATTAAAATAGGGTTACTATATCGACGTAAACGAACCTCATAACAATCAAACCTGAAAACATCAGCCATCATGTCGCAAGCTTGCCTGGGGAACTGACGGCTGGATATCAAATATGGTTCGGAAGTCCGCACAATAGAGAACCATACGGGAAAGTTATGTACGAACAAAGGGCGCGGGCAAATTTGAGTAGTATAACCATCAGAAGACACTGAAACCAAAGTAAATCCCACTTGCAAATCTGACAATGGAATCTACACTCTGACTGGAAAGCAAACGCTCATCACAGCAGTTGGCAAAGCGAGTGCGTTGATTATGCCATGAAGCGAGAAAAGCCAACCAAGGAATCCATGTGCCTGGATCCATTTGGTTGGTGACACAGTAGATGTCTCAACCTAAAAAAACACACTGAGATAAAGGAAATGAGGAGTTCGTGTTGAGATCTCCTTATCAGCGTCCTCATGGCCGCGAGCAGCCATAATACGATTATGTCTACAGGGCTGTCATGGTCCATTAACGTTGGGCTACGCAGGTATCGCTAATTCATTGTGAGTTTGAAAGAAAAAGATTACGAGGCATCTAGACAGCAGCGATGCCTGAATCAAATTCATCAGACAATTTTGTAACATGCAGAGAACCGAACTAAAAGTTATGGAAACATCCGTTATGCACCTGCACAGGGTGTGGCCAGAATGTGAGTAGTTCCACGATAAAAACACAGCGGCATCGGGTTAGTTCCTTCATGGCTATGTTAACAACATTCTTCCTTGTTGGATTGCTCTGTGCATTGGAATTGTTTTGTAGAAGTTATGATACCACTCAATTGCATTTCTGATTCCGAATTTTTCGATCATAAATAAAGGTGTTGTCTCTGGTTAATTTCAGAGATCTTGCTTTCGCTTTGCACTCCAAAGTTGGTTGTCATCTTGCCAACAGATAGAATTCCCCCAGCCCTCTTCAAACTCAGTGGACCTGCTTTGGCAGATGATTAACAAGAGCAGCTAGTGAAATTTTGGGAGCAGGAAACTGTCTCCACAGACTAGATCCGCTCCGTTATAGTCCAAATTTTTAAGGGAGGCTCCCATTCGGAATACATACATACATGGATATGTCAGATCTCAACTGCTTCTAAATTGCTTGCATTCTTCGTTCTCCACAGAATCACTGGCAATAGAGGAAGTCGGAGTCGTGTGGAGCAAGCTGGGAGTCATCAAAACCACGGCTGCATCGACCACATGTTCACTTTGCGTCAATTGTTGGAGCACCGCCAAATCTATTGGCTGCCAAACGTTGTGGTGTTTCATGACAGCAAAGGTGTCTTCCGTTCGGTGGAACGATGTGCCTTTTGGTATGCCGGAAAAATATGTAAACATTGTCAGAGCGTTGTACGCGCATAGTTCGGATCGTGCAGTGAGGGCTGATGATGGTAAGCTGTCGCCATACCTGTCATAGCTGCAGCGGTGCGAGACTAATGAGTCTGCCGGACTTCACCTTGTCCTAGTCTTGCAACCTTCATGTCGATTGACCTACAATTAACTGCCTGAAGCAGCACGTGTCTCGAACTCGACCTGCCAACATGTGTAGCTAGTTCAAGTGAGCGACATGGCCCTCAGCTGCTGACAGACTGCCCAAACGTGTCGAAGTCGCGGAACTGCGACAACACTATGCAAAAACTGTCTGTGTCTCTGCAGCTTCACGCTCGTTCACCGGAGAGGTGCAAATACTTCACCTATTTCCTGCTGAAGCGCTCATAGTGTGTGCTGATTAATTAGAAACCACCTCCCGTTTCAGCTACCTTGGGAGTGTGATATCGACTGATCAGCAGCTACACAGTGAGCTGCGTATCCGCGTGTCGAAGGCATTCGGGAAGCTTGAGTACCGAGTGTGGAACAACCATCAGCTTACCGTTGGCACGAAGCTGATGGTGCACAAATCCATGGTGCTGTCCGTTCTTCTATACGGTAGTGAAACGTGGACGATGTACCGTCGGGATGTGCGACATCTCGAGCGGTTCCATCAGCAGTGTCGGCGACGGATTTTGCGCATCGGCTGAGGCGACAGAGTTGCTGATACGGAAGTTTTGCGCCGAAGTGGGATGTATGCAGTGGACGGCATACTTTTGCAGAGACACCTGAGGTGGCTCGGTCATGTGAGCCGTGTGGACTCGACGCGGATACCGAAGCAGCGATTATATGGTCAGCTTAGTATTGGGAAGCGTCACGTGGGGAAACCAAGGTTACAATACCAGGACATGATTAAAGTGAGCCTCACACGTTCTAATTGAAGGCGGTTGATCGATGCGCATAGTGCGATCTGATCACGAAGGCAGTTGCCGATGCAGAAGAAAGCCCTCATGCATGCAGAGAAGAAGCGGCAAGCGCGGAAGCGGCAAGCACCGATGGGTTGTTCTCCATCGACATCAAGCGCATGGTACTGTAGAACATACAGTCGCGAGTGCCTTAGTCAGGCAGGCTTAGTGAGCCATGAGCGAGGCCACTCGGGACTACTACCGAAGCGCCGACGGGTTCTGCAGAGAACGTAGGCAGAACCGGCGCAGCGTTTGTAGGTACGCTGCATTCGATTTAATAATCGCGTGCTTGCATGCTAAGTCTCTTTCTTTCAGGTGGTGGGTTTTCGGTTCTGTCCTAATACCTTACTTTCTCATATATATATCTAGAGGGCCATAAGCTAGGCCCTTTGGGGCCACTACAGAAGCGACGACGGGTCCTGCAGAGAATTACGGCGAGCCGGCGCAGTGTTTGTAGGTACGCGGAATTCGATTTACTAACCGCGTGCTTGCATGCTAAGTCTCTTTCTTACAGGTGGTGGGTTTTCGGTTCTGTCCTAATACCTTACTTTCTCATATAAATGTCTAGAGGGCCATGAGCTAGGCCCTTTGGGGCCACTACAGAAGCGACGACGGGTCCTGCAGAGAATTACGGCGAGCCGGCGCAGTGTTTGTAGGTACGCTGAATTCGATTTACTAACCGCGTGTTTGCATGCTAAGTCTCTTTATTTCAGGTGGTGGGTTTACAGTTTTTACCTTAATGCTTTTCTTTCTCATATATATCTCCCTATACTCTATTCCATTAACTTGCACACCTCGCCTAAGCCAATATTATTCGATTTCCATAACATTTTTGTGTTCGTGGCATTCCGTGAACTATACTTCCTGACCACGTGCACATAGCCAGGATTTGTTTGTAAACAACTTATTACATGTGCCATTTAATTAAGGTTTATGTCACCGTTTCCTTATGCATTAATCGAGTTTTTCTCTTTTTCTTTCTCTCTCTCAAGTGTTTGGCTGTTGTTTGATAACCCCGGTGTGGCTGCTCTTGATGTGCATGTTGACAAGGTGCCTACCTATCTATTACCCACTACCTCGTCCATACTGGCTCCATGAGACAGTTGGTCGTTGCTGGATGGGACGGGGTGCACGGTCCTTGTGGCCGTGTTAGGCTCGAAGAGTGGTTCCATGCGCTCAGTATGGAGCGGACTACGATCCAGCCACCGCCTTGTGTGCGCTTGATTCCCCAAATACAGTGTGCTTGTGTTTGCCTGTGAAGGAGTATGGGCCGGCTCTGTTGATGAAACGTGGCTCCTATCCGCATGCCTCCTGGTCTTATTCCTTCGGGTTTACACTGGATATGGGGTGTGTGGTTGGAGCTGTGGGTGGTGCAGCGCAAGCCACCCATGGTCCCTCTGTAGGCGCAGGCGTCATGTGGCTTGCCACAGTGACAGGCAAATCCGAAACCGGATGCCGCCAACCATGTGTGCATGCCAGCACACCGACTGCCACGACGTACGTTGTTTGTTGCGCTGAGGGTGCGATTAGAAAGGGAGGGGAGGTCAAGCGATGACTGTCGAGAAAAAAGAAAACCGTTGCTTCGAAGTTGGCATCGGTTGGTGCATCCCGACTGCCCTGCTGGGATCCAAGGGACAATGAACAAGTTTGGTTGGACACACTTGCTGACATGGCTACGAGCCGGCTCCAATGGCGTTTGCGCTGGAGGTCTCATTGTCCATCTTTCTATCCTTTAGATCTCCCCTACAACTACGATGTCATGGCAAATTAATAATGTGATATTCAGCATATTACTTGATTTTTAAATTATTTGTAGTGTTATTTTTAGTAGCTTACCTGTTTGTATTGCGGCACATTAACTGAGGCGTTTCTCACTCACAGATAAGGTGCATTGATGAAGATAAATGGTTTCGGATTTCGTATAATGCCGAAACAATCACATTGCGGTGCTTGTTTTAAAGTTGTCGACCAAATGTCACGTTAATTTCCACGTGCCTGAGTTCAGTGATCCAAATCTTCAGATGCGCTACCACCATGTAGTCGAGTTTTTATGGTGATAGACTACTCGACGTGGATAAGAAC